AGCGTGTGCTACTCATCGGTTTCACACTTGGTTGTCACAATTTACTGTATTTTTTACTTTTTTTTTTTTCTGTTGCAGTTTTGCTAATTTATCAGATGGTCCAAATGTTTTGACATAACTATTTCAGTTTGCATTATTTATTTATGATGCTTTTTGTCATTGTCTTTTATACATTTGCGATTATAAATTATGTACATGTTAAAATTAGCATCTCAAAGAAGTCTGTTACCCATGGTCGAAAAAAGCAGTTGGTTTATATTTTCATGGATTTTATTCCCAGTTTATTGGATTGGATGATTTTTTTTTTAAAGTATGTAACCAATCATAATGCAACGCCCCTGGATAATTAAATGTGTTCTATTTAATAACATTCTTGTAGCATAGATACTGTATCACTATTGACAGATTTCTTAGAAATGCTGCTATCTCTATTTAACTAACATTTTGTTCAGTTTTTGCCTCCAGTGGAAGCAGAAAGGGTTTTTTCAGCTGTTAAATCCAAAATCAATATAATTTATTTATGTAAAAAAAAAAGTCACGATTGATATATTTTTGAACCTTTTAAGTACTAACTTTGTTTTTATTCAGTGGAAGAACATGTACTTGCCCTAAATCCTTAAAATACAAATGCTATAAAACTTCATATATCTTCAAAGCCTTACTGTGAATGGATATAGAAATCTCTTCTGAGTTCATTTCTTGTCAAGGGATGGTTTTCCAGGGTTACACACGTATGGAACAGGGTTTAAAGTGAAATTTATTTAATTAGCCAGCATGCTCTATACCTTGTTCTTTCTTAGCAGACATGTATGCTATGTCTCTGGGTGTTTAGGCTTCTCTTTGCTACTTTGTGACCCTTTTGCAACCCGGTATACTCTGTGGATTATTTAGACTGTAAGGCGTAAGTGGCTGCTTCTTCTTTTCCATCATATCCCAAACAAATGCCAAATTTTCACCGGTTTTCATGGCTACTCACACACATACATCCTTCACCAAATGTGCTAACAAAATAAACTGTCTGTGCTCTTGAACATGGATAAAAAGAAAAAGATTTAAAAGTCAGATTTTTATTTTTTTAATTTAGTGACTAGATGATGCTTATCTTTCAGACTTGGCAGAGCCTTGCTACAGATGTATATAATTTTTTTCAGCAAATATATGTGAATGTTTAATTCACCTGACTCAGTGATAAACGTGACTTGCCTTTTTCTCAGCATGAACCCGTTGAGAAGCTGTCGAACCCCGTGGCCTGCTCCCTGCTTTGGAGTTGCCCTTCGTGCCCTGTGCGTTACTCCGGGGAAGGGCCGCTCGCAGTGGGCGCATCAGCTTTCCCTGCCACAGGAGGAGGTTCCTGGGCTGCAGCCCGGCTCTCACACAGTGCCCTGGGGGTTAACCCACTGTGCTGGGGGAGTTAACTCCCTGTCCTGTAAGATCCCAGGAGCAGACCGAGCTCCAGGGCCAGTTTAAACACAGAGGATGTACAGGGGCCGACCCCAGAGACCTCCACAGTCACCACACACACCCACACACCCCTGCCCCAAGCAGTCCCTGCCTGGTTTTTATCTGATGGGACACAGAGAAGTCTCATGACACATTTAGACAGGATCTCCAGTTCCCTTTACGGTCACAAAAAATGGGGAAGGATTTCCCTTAGCAGTAACTCTGGATGGGGGAGCTTTACCTGCCCCAAGTGCAGATGCCCCCACCCTGGGCTCTTTACAGTTATAAGAAAGGATTTGGGGTTGGAAATCTTAACTAGCAGTGAGCAGAAGGCAGTTTCTCTAATGACATTTGGTTTGCATTGAAGAAAACTTGAGCTTTTCAGTGCATTTTTGTTTTCTGCCTCTTCAGAAGCCACTTTGGTCCCAGGGCTGTGGAGCATGGGCTGAGTCACAAGACCATGAATTCTCCTCAATTTTTGCAACCTCAAAGAAATACTGGGCACT